CGGGCCTCTCCGGCCGGCCCACCGGACTGCTCATCCACCTGGACTTGCGCCTAATGAGACACCAATATGCCCTAATTCGGGTGTGCGCGCAAGACTTTTAGGACCTTCGCGCCCGCGGCGTTGTGGCAGCACTGCGGGCGGGGGTGGTGCCGGGCAGGGCGGCGGCAGGTGGGATGGACGGCGGCAGGACCGCGCGCCACATGAGTATGACAAACACAAATTCTCTTGCTTTTTTATTGGCTGGGCTGTAAAATGTCGAACTTAAAATCAGGTCAGATGAGTCCGATGAGGCAATGATGATAGCCAAAGCTTTGCTGGAATATGCCACCCTGCTTCGATTGTTGCTGTCGGATTCAAGGTGTTAAGCAAAAATAGTAGCATACACTCTAAATCGTGGTGGATTTTTCATCGAGCTAATTTGTGTATGAAAAGATACAATTTTTGTGAACATCTACACGAAATGTAGTTATTACAAATTCGCCTCGTACCTCGTAGACGAAACGAAAATATGTGCAGTGTGAGGGTGCAAATTTGTCACTGGCAAGATTCAGAATTGCAGTTGCTTGAGATGTGCATAAACAAGCATCTTACTTGGGATGAAAGAAGTCTCTTCAGATTTAGGGTGTATCTTTTGTTTTTAAAGCCAGACGATGGTTCAATGTTTTCCTTTCTTTTTTTTTTTTTTGTTCATGTTTTGGATAGTGGACACAACATTGCTGTGCCTCCTCGTTCTGCAAATCCAGCAGGGGGAAGTCGGGCTGGGCCGGAGAGCCGAGGGGGGTGCGCGTTTAGTAATTACGGTATCATTAGCAGGTGCTTAATGGGGTGCCGTGTATTAATAACAGCGGTAATGACTTTTAGATACCGGGGCATTTAATGTGCCGCGGGCGAGAGATAACACGGGGGACAACGAAGGGTCCTGCAATGCGATGACAATTTCTGTTGATACCTGACTGATTCTTAACCAGACGTGCCGAAACAATATCGACCTTGTTTCGTTCTGCATCGTTGTTTTCATTGAAATCCATCTGGTTTGCAAATTCACATTTCTCTTTGTTTATATCCGGCCTGCTGGGGCTTCGTTTCATGAGGAGTTGCATTCTGCGCGGTCCGTTTGAGGCGAATTGGGAGGAAGCCCGGAGAAAAGGAGGGGGGAGGAGAAAAGGGGGGTAGGGCGGAAGCTGTTAATTAGTAAATGAAAGATAAAGATCGAATATGATATAGTCCTACTGCCTCCCCCTCACAAGGGGGTAAAAGCAGAAATCTTCTCAAAACCGCAAAAACAATTAAATCACTTAATTTCCTTAATCACGTTTTTTATTTAAACTGGAAAAAAGGTAAGTAACGCCCTTCACCGCGTCACACTCTTATTGTGTGGCATCCCGAACGGTGACATTTATTAGGTCCCAAAGTCGGCAGCGCGCCCGCCGCTTGGTTCCCATAAAAGTCACCGTTCGGATAGAAAAATTGTAGCCCGGCTGGCGTTGTGCGGGGATAACACGTGCCCGCTCGCCCCCCTGTAACTCAGCCCTAAACGCGGGCCCTTGTCAAAAGTCCCGCCGCGCCGCGCCACCGCAAACGGCCCACAGGCGCAACTTTTTTCTTCTTTATTTTTCTCCCCTTTTCCTTCCGAAACGACTTTATGGCGTTGTAGTCCGGGATATTCAGATGTCTTCGGCCTTGTACTCTGTGGGCCGGCCCAACATTTAAGCGGGTTGGAGGGGGGGTTGGGGGGGGTGTCATTCCTCAGCGTCGCACAACTTATGCACTGCCGCTGCAGCGTGTCGCGAGCGGTGGACTCCCTCTCCCCCTCCTCTTATTTTCCTCTCTCTTTTTGCACTCATATTTTATTTTATTTTCTGCGTTTCGTTTCCCTTGTTTATATGTGTGTGGATATGCGTGGCTACGGCCGTATAGAAATTGCGTAAAACTTAAGGATGGGTAATAATGGTGACCCACCTCCCTGATTTCAGTCAGTGCCTCATTGAATATGGACCGCTATCTGATTACCCCACTTTCCCTAACAATCACACACACAAACAAAATGTTCGCTACAAGCAGGTAAACTTCTATGAAGAACTACTTGTCTAGGGGTGGAAGTCCTAGAAAGTTTCCGGAAAATTTCCCGGAAATTTTCGGAAATTTCCAACCATATGCTAGTCCTAAACACTGTTACCTACACCACCATACACTGGTGTGAGGTGAAAACAAACTACCCTCTACCCCCTAAAAATGACGTAAATTTCGTCTACGACCCCATACATCACCCGCGGTACACGGCGCGCGCGCGCACACACACACACAAACACTCCTGCCCAACGCGTCATCAGGTCAGGCGCGCTGCGGGGCGATGAGTGAACGCGGGGGGCACATAAATCCCCCCGCGGAGCGCAGCACAGCACCCCGGCCCGGCGAACACAAGTCTATTCCTCGTAGATTAAACGTGTCGCTGGTGGTTGTACCTCCGACATTAACTGCGCGCGGCGCTAGCTAGAGCAGCAGAGCGCTGCGTTGGCGCGGCGCGCGCGTATTTTCGGACCGCCTTTGCGTGGCGCGCGCGTTCTCTCCATTCACATCTCTTAAACCGGTGTTTTGCGGTGAAATAATGGCAAGATTACCGCGCGGTGCTGAGCTCCTCACTTTGGGAAACGCGTCCGCGAACGCGTCAGCTCAATGGTATGATGTGTGTACGGTCACTCACAGAGGAGGTGCAAACTTAGTCTTTGAGGCAGTCGTGTTCGCTGAAAATTTTAGGCCACAGGCAAACTGCTTGCTGGCATTTTATGCTATGGCCAATAATTTTGGACCCAAATTCTTTGGTAGGTTTATTCGACTTACTGAGACTTACTTTTGTTTGGTTTCTGTTGCAGACGGCGCTGCACTGGGCTGCGAAGCACGGCAATGAGGACGTCATCAAGCTGATCGCGGGGACGCACCAGGCCGACGTCAACGTCCGCTCCGTGAGTTTTGCTGCTTTCTTTTTTTTTCCGCCCCAAGTTTTTGTTTTTTCTGTATTATTTTTCTCGACGGCGTAAAAGGCGCGGAGGATCGGCCGCTGCCGGGGCTACGAGATGACGACGTGCCCCGAGGTGCGGGGCTGCTGTGCTCCGCGGAGGCTACCGGCTGCGATCGGTTACGCGTCGCGCCGAGTTACGCCCCTCCGCGCCGCGCCACGCCACGCTGCGCCCGGGGCCATGGTGTGTCGTGGTGGGCGATGCTCTGGCTGGCTCGACGGACGGACGATCGTGTAGTTTGGTTACAGCGGCCAAAATTTGTAATAATAGTCATAAAATTAATGACACACGCGATCGCGATAGTTGTGGTCAGCGCCTGACCGCTCCTTCCTTCTGCCCAAAGGAATTTTGTTCATGATTGTTGTTCTTTATATTATTAAAATTATTCCTATAAAATTAAGTAAGGAATGAGGTCCCTGTTTTTCGCAGAAACTGAATTAGAACCGATGAATTAAATTAATGCTTATGTGGTGTTTTGTTTTACTTTCTGTTTTTGGTTCTCCGTGGTGCGCCTGATGTGGATTTGGATCGCTGCGCGTGCAGAATGGAGTAAGTATTTTCAGCTCATTCATTCGCTCATACTCACTTCAGCCGGGACCCCACACCCCCATCACTCCTCTCACTCGTGAAATGGCTGCCGCGTATTAATTTCAGCTTTATTACGCGCTATAAACTGCAAAATAGATTTTTTGTCACTTCCCCCTTTGCGGGCCCCTCCCCTACCCTCCCCGCCCCGCCCCGCTGCCGCGCCGGCTCGCGTGGGGTCCTCCACATATGCCACCCCTTTTAAAGCGCGGGGGTTGAAGCGTGCATTTCAATCTCGGGGTGTCATATTTCACCCCTTTAGCCGAGCCGCCGCCACCCCTGGCCGCGCTGGGGTCCATAGTCCAGTAGTGCCGGCCGGGGTGTGGAGGCGGGGCGGGGGTGGTGGCAGGGCGCATCCGCGCGCGCGCCGCTGCAAGTGTTGCCACGGCTGGACTTTGCAGCAGCATGCACTGGCGCTTATTCCGCTCGGCCTCGGATATTGTTCGCAGCTCCTTTATTGGAGCGCTCTCCAGAGGGGCTCCGCGCTGCCTGGCGGGGGCGCCACCGCCTGTCGCTCCGCGCGCGCACCTCGCGCACCTCGAGCTCGCCGTCAACACGTTATTTGTGCCGCTGTCTGGAGCAGGACGCGGCGGCGGAGGCAGCTCGGCGGCAGCGCGTCCCAATGCATGAATGAATAATGCTCCTTCAGGCGCAGCCCTCGCCAGCCCGATCATATCTCAAGACGGCCGACTCCGCCCCCTGGCCCCCGCGGCCCACCCCCGCGGCCCGCCCCC